CCCCCCCCCTCCTTAGCGTGTTAGCCCTGGGAGTGATCATGTGGGTTTGAAGTTGTTTGTGTACATATTTTAAACTTGAGCTTTATATATTCATTTAACAGCCCATCACCATGCAGGCTTAGTCATCGAAACAATTATTCTAAACCACAGGTTGACTCATGTTTGTCAAAGTGCAGCTTTGCTTTTTTCTTTTTTTCCCCCCCTTCCCTCTCTGCTAAAGGAACATGGTGCACAGTCCCTCAGTTTGCTCATGGCAAATTTAACTGCACTGAATCAAAGTCTCATTGGAGAAATCCTAGTACTACCAGGGAAGCAAAGTTAATCAAACCTGTAAAAAGAGTGAGTCTCTGAAGCACCACTGTATCTGGACTGATGTTGTTCTCATAAAGGCTGTAGGCCAATAATAGCTAACACCATACCATCGGTGCTTATTTGTATTAAGTATATTAGCTTTATGCATGGTTTCAAAATTGAGATTTGGCTACAGTTTGTCTTTGATCCAAAGTGTTCTGCAGTTAAGCCCTGTTGCTCTGAGCATAAAGTTGTTGTTTATTTTTTTTTTTTTGTTAAGATGCCAATACTGCATGTAAAAGCTTTCAACAACTTTTGCAGAGCTTGAAGCCAACTTTATCATTTGTTGTATTTTTTATTTATTTTTTTAAATCAAGCCTTAGGGGCAAGACAAGTCTTTATTCCATTAACTGAATGTGTTAAGTCTGAACTGTGTTTTGAGCAAGATTGTTGAGAACATTAAAAAAAACAAAAAAAAACCCCCTATCAATGAGAATATTGTGTTCACCGTTTGATTGAAAGCATTAACAAGTTTGTTTTGCATGTCCTCACAGGACTCATCGAATCACCATCACAAACTTCTGCCTGGGAAAGCACCTGGTGAGTGAGGATGACCTTCTGAAAGACCAGAGAGGAAGTCCAGCTTACATCAGTCCTGATGTACTAAGTGGTGAGTGAGGGTTTCAGGCATGGATTGTTTTTGTTTTTTTTGTTCTTTGACCAATTGTACCAACTATCAGAAGTGAAATGGGTTTGCTTAGTGTGGGTGAAACAAGTGTGCAGGGTTTTTTGTTTGTTTTCCTTTTTCCCCTCCTCCCTCCAAATGCAGACTAGAAATGTCTGAGTAAAATTATGGAATCGTGATTCCTTCTCTGAAGCCAGATAGGAACTTTGTTTTTGTGTTGTTGGTTGTTTTTGGTTTCATAATGCTTAGCAGTCAGGTCTTGTGTTGGATTTTCCGGTTATTGAGCAACCCAGAGGTATGTTGCAATCCTGGACTGGCAAAAGCAAGAAATGGCCTTTTTGCTTTTATTTGAGTAATCGCAGTGATGTTGCATCCTACTGCTGTATGGTATGCATCTGCAAGGGGAAGCTACTGCTTTACTCTTGTTGCTCTGCTTTTTTGCCTTTTTTCTTTTCCCCAGCTTGATGGTGCTTCTGTTAAAATTGCACACCCAAGTGCCACTATTAACGCCAATTCAAAAAGAGCTTTAATTACTGATTTCCAATGCAAACTCTAGGACAGAAAACAAGAGAAGTACAATTTCAAGCGCAGTTCTTTCATGTCCAACCAGTCAAACTGTAGATAAAACCGCAGCGTGTATATCAGCATAACGTGACAGGCACACAATTAAACAGAGCTTCAGTGACTCATACAGTGATGACTCACTAGAGGGAAACTACTCCCATCTACCCTTTCCCCTCCCATCCCCTGCCTGTGTGTCACAAGCTTTAACATAATTGCCTGCTGCTGTTGCTGCCGACTCCCTGGCTCTAACAACAACACTGCCTATGGTCATGCACAGCCATGACACTCCACCCTCGCCAGCATCAGCTTCTCATTGTTGTTCTTCTGATTTAATGTCTCGTCTGGCTTTCAAAACATTTTTTTAAGGTGCTTCTATTGGAAGTTTCTTTGAAGTACGACAGATGTGGAGTATTTGCTTATACTGTTAATCATTAAACCTCGTGATTTGATGGCAATTTAACTTGCTGAACGGTTGGTTCCTCCTCACAGGGCAAAAACTGACATTGCACCAATTGTCAACCTGTTTTCTGTTTGTCATGCATGCTAAATAGACCCTTATCCCCTCCTTCCTGCTTCCAGGTCGACCATATCGTGGAAAACCTAGTGACATGTGGGCGCTTGGTGTTGTTTTATTCACAATGCTGTATGGCCAGTTCCCCTTTTATGACAGCATGCCTCAAGAACTCTTCCGCAAGATCAAGGCTGCTGAGTACTCCATCCCAGAGTGAGCATTTATCTTTGTGGAGATTTAATTAAAGTGATCACATTAATATGACATTTTGCTCTCTGTTATTATTCTTTCATTCAAATTTGTTCTGAGATACAATCTTGCATTGTCTTTTGTTGTACTGCAGTAAAATCAAGGATTTAAATGCATTTGCTTTCGACAGCATTTTGATATTTATTTCAAACCTGACCTTGTAGAGGTTTTTGTTTTAGGTTTTTTTTGCTTTAAAGAAAAATCTTGTCCTTTTCCCTTACACCACCATTTATAGGGACGGCCGTGTGTCAGAGAACACGGTGTGCCTAATCCGAAAGCTACTGGTGCTGGACCCTCAGGAAAGGCTGACTGCAGGAGAGGTGCTGGAGTCCCTCGGTGCCATCATTGCCTCATGGTAATTGCGCCACCTGCTGGATGTTTGAGTGAATCAGATGTTTTGCATTTTGTTTGCAGAGAAACGAAAAAATTTGAATTGCACTGCTTTATTTGCACATTTCCTGGTATTGGCTATAAACCATTTGCAGACAGACAGTTCCTAACGATTAATGTGTTATGTTTAATCACAGGCAGTCAGTTTCAGCTATGAGTGGCCCTTTGCAGGTGGTTCCAGATATTGATGATCAGGTCAATCACCCGGAACAAGAGGTAAGATCTTGGAGGAAAATTACATTTAAACTTAATAATAATGGATTGGATTTATATAGTGCTTTTCAAGGCACCCAAAGACAATACCACTATTCATTCACTCTCACATTCACACACTGGTGGAGGCAAGCTACAGTTGTAGCCACAGCGGCCCGGAGTCAGACTGACAGAAGCGAGGCTGCCATATCGCGCCATCGGCCCCTCTGGCCAACACCAGTAGGCGGTAGGGTAAAGAGTCTTGCCCAAGGACACAACGACCAGGACAGAGAGCCCAGGGATCGAACCGGCGACCTTCCGGTTACAGATGCGATTCCCAACCCCCTGAGCCACGGTCGCCCTAGGATACATAACTCAAAGGATACATATGCAGCAAGAGCTACATACTGAAAGTGGGTCGTAACAACATTGTAGCCACAGACCATAGGGAATTTGGGTGACCCAAAAGTGACTAATCACTTCCAGTTTGGACACAGCCAAACTGAGCGTCCTTGATGCAACTATCAAAAGTTGAATATTAAATTTTAGTTACAAAAATCTCTTTACACAATGTTGACTTTTTGCTACCACACTAACTGCAGCATATTGAACTGGATGCTTTCTTTCCTCAGGCCAAGGTGATAGAAGAGTCTTCGCAGTACGAGTTTGAGAACTACATGCGGCAGCAGCTGCTGCTAGCTGAAGAGAAGAACACTATCCATGAAGCCAAGAGCTTTCTCACAAACCGTCAGTTTGGCAGCATCCCACCTGTAAGGCGTCTTGGACACGATGCTCAGCCTGTCAGCCCACTAGATGCTGCCATCTTGGCACAACGTTTTCTGCGGAAGTAATCCCTCAATGACCAATTCTGGACTCTGGCCTCCCAGGAAGTAAAGAAACCTGCAGAGTCTAGAGAGGACTGGTGTAAACCCATTCCCCTCACCCCCCTAACCCACAAAACTGAGCTTGCATACAGGAGGCCTGAGCTGATGTACAGACGGCCTTGTATGTAGGTGGGGTTTTGGCAGTCTAGGTGGAACAGATAGAAAGTGGGTACCAGAACAAACTGCCAACCCAGAACTTCACTTCTCCTGTCTGAATCCTCTTGTGAAACATGGCAAGGCCTGCAGGAAGATCTGAACCAAAGGTTCCTGTCTTCAAGTCGCCCACAGTCAGATCTCACTGTGCAGCAGACGTGATTGCATAGTTTCACACGGCCCCAACACAAGGCTCTGCCTGGAGTGTTGAAGAAACTATCAACCCTGTGTTCCTCCTCTGTCGAGGATGCCCTACTGTAACACTTCCCTTCCCAACCAATTCTGGATCCCCTGAGCAATACAGGACCAGAATCATGTAGCAACCCCCTTTCTTCCTAGTGGTAATGGTATTGCCTCAAGTCGGATCACTTGATCACAGATGTCACTTCTGTATACCTCCATTCCAACCTCCTCCCCTCACTCCTTCCTCTCAGTCTGTTTTCCTGTAATGTTCCTGTCTGTAACTCTGACTTCAAATCAATCTACCTCTCTGTCTCTCTTCTGTTGGTAAACCATGCTCACTGTTCTGAGACAAGGGATTGTAACAATTGAATCTTGATGCCACCAGTGACATAGCATTAATGTTTTCTGTCAGTGATAATGCTTTGAAACCTTGTCAGTGGTTTCAAAAATTCAAATAAGCTTTTTTAAATCATAATTAAGTAGCATTTATCCCTATATTTGCATTGAAGAAAGAACTGAAGATCAAAGTATGTACAAGCATCCTTTGGTATTTGCAGAATGCATTGTCTCCCGCTTTTGCTCATCCCTGTGGAAATCTATTTTTAGCATCTAGGCAGCTAGTGTGAGGTACCTGGAAGTTACAATGCCAAGAACTGAATGGGGGAAAAACTGTTGGCTCCTCCCTGCCAAGGCATATTGATAACGCTTCCACAGTGCCAGTATAGTGACGATCGGGCACTGTCTTGTTTCTATTGCCAAAAATCTTGCCTTAAAGTGCCCCTATTATCCTTTGTAGGTTTCCCTGTCCTTTTAGTCTTGCCTGACTATTTCCATACATGTGAAATGTCTGAAAAGTTGGAGCAAAGTGCAGTTCAAGTGGAATTATTTGCAACTGTGAAAAATGGTGCTGATGAAATGCCTGAAACTCCTTGCTTATATTCCTCTCCCCCCCCCTCATCTGCATTACTATGTAACACACTGCCATTGTGGCAAAGGTTTGGCATGACCTCAAAGGTCGAGCAGCTGTCTCAGCTACATGCAGACGCAGCCAGCTGCCTCAGTCATTACTTCCTTCCCAGAGTCGCTCCTGCTAACTAAAATGTCACGGCTATAAGCAAAGCACAACAAAAGTTCAGTTGTTTGCTGCAAGCGTGAAAACCGCTTTCTTTGTGTACTCCAGCATCTGAAGAAATTTGAACTTTTCTTCTTAATATTCACGCAGCCATAACGGTTAGGAAGTCGTTTATGTGTTTGGTGTTGGCATGGTGCCCGGCTAACTGTACTTTCCATTTTCTTCTCTTGGGCTCTGGTCATACTAAACTGTATTTTAATGCAGCTGTTTTCCCACTAAACATGTTGTCATGTGAACATGTTTCTGTTGCCACAAAATGGACAGAGTATAAATGGTGGCACAAACACAACCCCCGTGTGTAAATGAGCTGTCACTTTAAAGCCGTTTTCTGACCCCTGCTGCTCTGTACTACAGTTTCTATAAGCGCAATGTCATCTGACCAAAATCCCCTTTACCCAAGTTAGGCATGCATGTGATGGTTGCAAATACTTTTTCCAAGCTTTCACGGAAAAGAAGCAAAAATGTGGCTAAAGCTTTGTTACCACTCAGAACAGGCATTTGTCAAGCCAACTGACCAATGAGCAGGCTTAAGGAAAGGGGGCAAAAAAGGGGTTTCAGTGTAAGTAATGTACAGTGTGAAATTTACCAACCCATCCCACACTCATGCATGTGTGCGTGTGTGTGGACCATGTAAACCTGTTCTGTGGGCACTCCCTCTTTAAGGCCTGTAAATAAGTCTAATAGGGGCACTTTAAATTTACTTTTAGCCAAGGAAACCGGTACCCACAGGCTCATTCAGAATCAAATGGCTTCCAGGTATTTAACTTCCCTGTTTCTCTTTATAAAGACGGATTTGGGATAAGTGTTTCAGTATGAATGTGAATGTTTGACGTGTCCATGAGTGCATGTTGTCTTTCGGGCCAGGCGAAATGATGGTCTGAGGCTGTTAACTGTCTCAGACCCTTTAAGCTATCCTCCAATCATTGTGTTCTGTTATCTGGCCTGCCTCAGTGGCAGACACTGTGAAAACTAGTGCAGGCTTTGCTAAAACCGGGCTTGACTGAATGTTTTAGGGGATGACATTAATGCTTTAAGATTGGAAATGATCACATATCTGTTGCCATTCTCAGGCCTCTCTCTTGTACATGCTTGTATTATCTTATGGCGTAGGCTCCTGGCTGGTAATGAATACTATAAGTCATAGAAAAATTCAAATACAGACTCAGATTTTAAGTTTAGTTGCTGGGTTTTCTTGGCATTCTTAAGTGTTTCTTCAAACCATGGCAAAGCTACTAACCAGTGACTGTTAGGCATTTGTGCACTGCAACTTGCCTTTGCATATTGGTACCTGCTTTCTAGGCTTATTTATATTCAAACTGATTGCATGAACTTAGGCTCTTGAATACTTTCAAATCTTTACTACTTCCCCTTGTAATTTCATACTTTTATTCACTTGTGTAGACTTTCTCCCAAATGCCTCCACTGGAGCTTGCATCACAGACATTGATTATAGATGGTCCCAAAAAAATTAAGTGACATTTCAGACAGTGTCACTTAACTTTGGGTCTGTTTCATTGATTTAGACCAGTGAAGCAGACCCCACATCTTTGCTTTAAGCGTCAGCTCCAACAGTGGTTCTGCTTTAACCCTGTTATTTTGATCCTTTTCTGCCCGTTCATGAAATGGTAGCATTTCTATTTTGTTTCCATTCTTTGTATTACTAAGTCTTTCTTTCCATTTTGCCATAATGTCTGTGATCACCTTAAGCTACACTAATGAGACTGACTTTTGCATAGTTCTATTTTTTAAAGAAAACAAAATGATACTTGCATGTTTTCCTTATTTTATATGAGGGGTTGTTTTGTAGTGTTTTGTTTTTTCCTTTTCTTATATTTACCCCCCCCCAAAAAACTCCCTACACTTGCTGGTCAGTATGTAAATAATGCACCATCATGACTGCCCCAGTCATTGTATCTATTCCACCCCAGTGAGATGCCAGCTCTGCTTCAACACATGGGATTGATGTGTGCTTTAGCTCACGTTGGCCTTCAAGTACCACATCTGGAGGCTGAAATGTGTAAAGACAGCTGTTGGCTTTCTCCCACCTCAATGTGAATTCCATGGGTTATACAGCAGTATTGTAGTAGTAATAGCATAGGTTCAGTAGTGGCTGTGGGGGTTTTCTTAGCACCATAACTACTGCTGGATTTTTACATTGATACTGTGGAAAGTGTCTTAACACCATCTCCAGTGACACGTCTACAGTTTAGTAACTCAAGAGTTGATGTTATGTCCCCTGAATCAGTGTTTCACTTTCTAGCTAGTGGTTTTTACCACATTCAATGTGTTTTACAGAGTTGTATTGGCAGATTGCGTTGTGGACTGAAAGCATGGAAATTGTGAGAGAACTCTGTGTAAAAACACGTGATTATTGCAGGATATTTGGATTTGCCAGTAAAACAAGTTGTAGATGATTGGGTTCCAAAAAAAATCTCAATCTAAATTGAAAATCAACCTCCCCAACTGAAAGTAAAAATTTTATACATATATATATATTTTTTTTTTTTCCTCAAATTTAATTTTACCCTAGTTTTAAAGTTGTCAGTATATAACTGATGTATAGCTGACTGTTTCAACTGGAAACTTGGTGTAGGATGTGTGGCGTAGTTTAAACCCAATGGGAAAATGTGTTGTAAGCTGCTTGGTTGGACATGGGCATCTAAATACAGAAAACTGCGTAATTGTACAGATGAAAACGCGTTTGTATAAAAACATATTTTTCTACTTCATCAGATCTCTACATGCATGTCAGCAATAAACTTTGATATGGAAACATCCAGCTGTCTCATTCTTTCCCACTAGGTGGAGCAGTTAAAACAAAAACAAGACTGCAGTAGGGGGATTGTATTCTAAGTAGACCCATAAAAAGACTACCTCTCCTATATATTCTACCAGATTTGGACAAAAGAAATCTATAGAAAACTTGTACAACTGTTAGACGTCTCTAGATGTGCGGTTTCAGTGTGCCACCCGTGTTATAAATGACTCCCTTTGTACTGTCTCACTCTTGCAGTGACTGTGGTTTTGGACCACACTGAGGTAGGCTTTCTCAGAAAGGAAGCCTCCTGCTGGCTCTGACAGCATTACAGTACCCTGTGGGGCTGGTCTTCCACCTCACCTCATGTCACTCAGGCCAAAAATGCTACACATGGAAAGCCTATTTTAAGCAGACCATAGACTCATTAAATGTGATACTGACAAAAGTTACTTTTTTTTCCTTTTTTTTTTTCTTTTTTGTTATGTAATGTATACTTAACCTACATTTTACAGGAATGACTTTTACAGCAGGCCGTTTGTTGTGGAGTTTACATGTGTTCTCTGGATGCTCGGGCTTCCTTCCACAGTCCAAAGACATGTACAGGACTAAGTTAATTGGCAATTATAAATTAACCACAGGTGTGAGTGAGAGTGGTTGTCTAATTATTAGTCCGCTGACAGGTTGGCAAGCTGTCAAAGGTATATCTCTCACCCTGTGATCGCTGGGATTGTGTTCAGCAGCCAAAACCCAGAACTTGATAATGGTTTGGAATTTGTTTTATTCTAATGGTCTTAAAAACTCAACAAGTAGTGAGCAAGGACACAAATGCTGTGCTGACTCATTGACAAGAATGCCTAAGCTTTAACCTTTCCAATATTTGTTGTCTTTTAGTACATTCACAGAACGTCAGGATGGAAAAGTCCAGAACCTTTAAGGGACTAAGCTCTGATTTTTATTCCCTGTAAGCTACAAGCAGCTGGCCTTGAGGATGGCCCATAGATTCATGTGTCACAGACAGGTGTGCGTTAAAGACAACATCAGACATCTGCAATGTTCTTGCTTAATTACCTTGGAGAGCATTATGTATCTGATTCCTGAAAAGTGCAAGAGTGGGGTTATGCAGCTGAATGTGGATAGCAAAGGGTAAGCGAGTATCCACATTTCCAGATGTGTGAATGTTGCAGTGTTGTCATAACTTTCTGTCTGTTTTAGTGGTAGCAGTAAATTTAAGTGTTTTGGAAATAACTGATTTAAGTTCCCAGCTGCATCAGCATTGTAGTCATTACTGTTTATGTCTTGTAGGGACTGTGAATGTGTCTCTATCAAGCACGGAAGCTTTATGGCTTCTCCTGGCAAGACACTTAAGCAAAACACACTAAAGAAAACAAATGTAGCATTGGAATTAAAACAAAACATGATTTTAAACTATAAATGCATCCAAGCTCATGGAATGCTGAATATGTGCCTCTACTTCATGGCCCAGTCCATATCTGCTATTGTTGCAAAGGCAAAATGATCTCTGACTCGCTCTCCTAGGAACTGAACAAGTAAGGTAAATATGTGTAAGATGACTACAACGGATAGTCCAGGACAGAGCTGGCCCTCTTGACCAGTTTGTTGGTTTGGCTTGTATGTGGGGTGGGATATATTAGGGAGCAAGTAAATATTTTGTCCTTAAAGCATCATCAGAACTGCAGCTCTTTGTCCTCAGTGGCCAGTAACTATCTGGAAGCTTAGAAAGGAACAGTGGTGAACTAGCAACGGGGTCATGGGAAGTCACTGATACACTTGGGGAGCAACAGACAAGCTACTGTAGCTCAGATTCCTGAAAAATGTAATGCTGTTTCTAATAGAAAGGTGTCAGAATACACAGTGCATCAGTTTGTTGCGTACAAAGCTCCAGACCAGTCGGGGTGTTTGTGCTGACCCCTGTCTACCGTCAAAAGCAGCAACAACGAGCATGCAAGCATGGAGCAATGGAAGAACATGGCCTGCTCTTATAAATCATGTTTTCTTTTACATCATGTGGATGGCCGTGTGCCTTGCTTACCTGGGGAATACCTGGTACCAGGACTCGCTATGTGTAGAAGGCAGTGTGATGCTTTAGGCAAAGTTATGCTTGGGTCCTGCCATCAATATGGATGTTACTTTGACATGTACCACCTACTTAAGCAATGTTGGAGATCATGTACACCCTTTCATGGAAATGGTATTCATTGATAGCTGTGGCCTCTTTCAAGAGGACAATGGGTCCTGCCACATTGTGGCAATTTGTTGACTTGGCCACCATATTCCCAAGATCATAATCCAATTGGGATGTGCTGTACAAACTAGTTCAATCCATGGAGGTTCCACCTTGTAACTAACAGGACTTAAAGGATCTTTTGCTAACATCTTGGCACCGGATACCACAGCACACCTTCAGGGGTCTAGTGGAGTGCTTGCCTCAGTGGGTCAGGACTGTTTTGGCAGCAAAAGAGGGGACCAGCACAATTTTAGGCACGTAGTAATGTTATGCCTGATTGGTGTATCTGTGCTTTAGATTTGTTTTAAATATGAATACAAGTTCATTTTTGACTAAACGGCAATCCAGTATTGATCCCTAGCTCCTAATACTGTAAAAGTAAAATCCAGGATCTGAAGAGACCAGTATTGTTAACAAAGTTCATTTTAGGGGAGAAAAGCAAAAAAACTGGCCTCAAAACAAAATATGCACATGGTACCCATATGAGGAGTGAAAACAGCTGGAATAGGTTTTACTTTAATTGTTTTAAGTTTGTCTTTAGTCGTGTTCGTTCTTAAAATGCATGATAAGCAAAACTTCTGACATAATCATAGTACTAATAGCCACTGTAGCAACAAAAGCAAATACCTTCCTTTTTTAAATATCTAAAAACAAATTTCTTTTTTTTTTCTTGTCTTCATTTATTTTGGACATATGTTGTACTACTGTAAGCTACACCGTTTAAAACAAGTTCCCATGTTCTGCTGAACCTAGAAAGCACTGTTAATGTTCCACTCTCATATGACGATAAAACAAACGAGGTAACAAAACCACTTGTACTCATATTCGTCCCACATTAAAGAATCAACTTAATTCCGTCACAGACGGGCTTAGACGATGCTATAAAACTGGTGCCAGCAGGAAGAGACTTTGTTGTGGTGCCGTACACATGGTACTGTACTGCCAACAGAGAACAGAACAGACAGAATCTAATAATGCTAACAAATAAAATAGTTTTCTGGTAATAAACCACCTTTTTTTTTTTTTTTTTTTTTTTTTTTGGTGACACATCTACAAAACTACAAAAATGATTCCCATACAGACTTAAGTGCAGTTAGAGCTGAGACCAGACCTTGATTTCATTTGACTGCTTTTGAGTTCTCACAAAGCAATACATTTTTTGGAAAAAGACTAAGACCCGGGGATTCACTGCTATCATTTTTATACCTGTGTTAAGTGTTGGAGCTGGACACTGCACACTTGCTAACACCACCTAAATTTAAAATGCATTTGCAAGTATGCAAATGTCTTTTTTAGGTTCTAAAACAACAGGCGCCTTAGGTTTTTTGAGAGGTTGAAATGTGTTGTGTTTCGGAGCTTTGGGAGGGATGACAGTAACTCACTGCTGTTCCTGCACCTAATCATGCCTCAGCTTTCTAGAGGGCTCATTCCCCTAAATGTATTGTTTTTTGATCACTATTGTTACTTTTTTTCTTTTTTCTTTCATGGGCTCTCATCAGTCTGGTATGTAATGTGGGTATGAATCGTACCACAAGGTATTTCTAAAGCTTCACACACACCCGGGGCATAACCCCTCTTACTCACAATCATCTGAAACCTATCAGTGTGCATGTGGTCAGGTTGTTTACAGCCTCTCTGTTTCTCTCCATGACCTTGTCCAGTTCTCAGAGAGAAACACCTCTGCTTCTCATCTCTTTCAGGACGGCATCTTGAGATATTCTTTAAATTACTCTTTTGAGTGCATGTGTTTGACGTTCCTCGCACATTTAGCCTACACATGGGTTTAT